CATCGTTTTAGTCAGAACTGAGTCCCATGGCCATTGAGCCCATTGCTTATAAGGGGCAAGGAGAGAGGTCCTTGGAGTTTGGGGGCCTTCGGGATTTTCAGGACGTTTCCTTCCTTCATTACTTACTTAATTATATTATTAAAACCTTTAAGATTGGGAAGACTTAAGTATGTTTAACAATGGATGGTTCAAGCTGTGATGTTAGATAATTGACTGTAACAGAGAAAGATGGTAAAATTGATAGAATAATGTTTCCAAGAATGCAGGAGGGGATAGGAGCCAAAGCGGGGACTGGCCTTAGGTAGGCGGACCCCTCCTCCTTTATAGCGGGAGACAAGGAGGAGCAGATGGGTCCCAGGCTGGCAGGTGACTCTAGCCACCATTGTTCCCTTCTGCAGTCTGAGCGGGGCACCACTGCGTGCTTTCAGCCTCATTTACTTCCACAGGGACAAGTTCTGCCAAGCCCTGCCAAGAAACTACCAAAAGGTGTGTCCTTATCCAGAGTGCCAGATTTCCTAGTTGGGTTTTTCCTATCCGGGTTGCACACCATAGAGCATACCTAAGAAGCGATTTGGTTTCCTCTTTGGATAATGCCACCTCATGGCAAGCTCTGGCTCTGCTTTGGGCCATGTGTCCCAAAGGTCTAGGCACAGGCTTGTGAGGTAAGATAAATGAATAAAGCTAGGAATGCCCCCTCCATACTTACCAAAGTTCTGTTAAGGAAAGCTATCACTCCCAAGACATGTATTCATTATAAAGAGAAAAACAGTAACTTTGCAGTGGAAAAATATGGTAGACACCTCTTAACCAACTGATCAAGGTTAACAATCACCAGTAATAAGACATACTGACTTCATGTACTTCCTGATATGCCAAACTCAGAGGGGCACATCATTCCTATGGTATTCATACCAAAAGCGCTTGCCACAACCTCATCATGAGAAGATGTCAGACCAACTCAGATCAAGAGCCATTCTACAGAAAAATGACCAGTAGTCTTTAGAACAGTTGAGGTTGTTCAAATGTCCTTCAAAGGAAGAATGCTTAAATAAACTGGGTTACATCGTGCCACGGAACACTCAGCAAGAAAAATGAACAAACAATTGATTAATGCAACAACTTGGATGGACCTCAAGGGGATTTTGCTGAGTGAAAAAAAAAATCTTGAGAGGTCACATACTGTAAGAGTCTATTTATATGGCATTCTTGAAATGGCAAAACTATAGAGATAGAGAACAGAGTCATGGTTGCCAGGGGTTAGGGAGTGGGAGAGGAAGGGAGGTTACTGTGGCTCCCTCCCGTGCACCTCGAGGGGTCCTTGTGATGGAACAGTCTTTTGGCAGCGGTCACACAAATCCACGTGTGATAAAATTGCATAGCACTAAACACACACACACACACACACACACACACACACCCAGATATTCCTAAATCCATATAAAACTGGTGAAATCCGAATCAAGTCCATGGATTGCAGAAGCCAATTTCCTGATCGTGATTGTGTGCTATAGTTACACAAGATGCTGCCACTGAGGGGAAACCAGGTGAAGTGAACAGGGATCTCTCTGTATTATTTCTTACCAATGCCTATGAATCTACAGTTATCTCCAAATAAGAAGTTTTTAAAAGCATGTTAAGGCTGTAAAAGTCAAGGGAAGATTTAGGAGCAGCCCCAGATTAAAGGAGACCGAAGAGTCATCCTAACTAAATACAATATAAGAGCCTGGATTGCAGGCTGAGTCAGAAGAAGCACTAGAGCGGGGTAAAGTTTGCATTTGGTTCATGGTGCTGAACCAATGTTCACTTCTTAGTTTAGATCAATGTGTGATTGTTATATAAGATAGTAACTTTAGGGGAAGCTAGATGAAGAAAGCTCGCCGCTATTTTTGCAACTTTTTCTGTAAGTTTAGAGTAATTTCAAAATTTGAAAAACTCTACAAGTTCTATAAGGAAAAGTTCCCTTTATCTTATCTAATCAGAAATCTGATAACTGCCTTTTAAACATAAATTGGAAAACTAGCAAATTAGAGGAAGTAAAATTTAAAAAAAAAAGGAAAACAAAAGGCAAATGTAATTTTGTAATATTTTACCAGTAAGTTTCTTCAAGTTTAAGACCATTAACCATAGCAGCTATGATATAAAAATCCTAGAGTTTAAATATCACATCAATACTACTTTTCTACTAGAGGAATCTCTACAATCCAGTCTGTTAAATTGGCCTGATCTGATACTTGTTTCTTAGAGCAAATTTCTCCACTGATGATTGTCCTGTGAGAAGCCATCTGCTGCTTCCCTCACCTTCCGTTTATGGTGGAGACCAGAGCTGGCCTTGGGGTTACTTTGGTTCCAAAGAACCCACCCACCATGACTCAACATGTTTTTCAACACGATTGGTTGGAATGGGAGAGATGCCACTACACCCCACGGTCTCAGTGTCACACTTTCAGGCCCGGGGACCTCAGAAGAATCAACAGTCCACCTAGCAGTGTGCACCCCGCAGGCCTGTTCTCCGGTTCAGCTTCTGCCATGTTCTAGGGCCAAGTCATCTAAACAAGCCAGGTTTTGCTGTGTGTGGACATTTTTTTTTTCCCTTCCTCTAAATAAGTATTTTTCCAAGCATGGAATTCAGAGGAGAGGTCACTTTTTCTGCATGGGAATCCGTCCGATTTCTTTTTATGGTCATTTCTATATCCAGAAGGTCCCAGGTCCAGTACACTATTGGACATTCTAGTGAAGCTCCTCTGAGCAAGCTTCCCTGGGTCACTTGCTGTCTTGTCACCTCAGATCTCATGCAGAGGCCACTCCCTTCCAGTTCCTTCAGTCCCTGGTTTTTCCACTCAAGTGGAAAAATAATAATCCTTCAGTTTCTTCTTTCAGCTCTTATCTGAATAGCTCTGGTCCAAAGCTGGATTGGTCTGGTTTTCGTCCATCTGACTGCAGAGGTTACAGCAAGATGGACAGAAGTTTGGACATAGCAGTCTGGGAAAACTTCTCCTATAAACCTGACTTGATACATCTGTCCTGCTGGCAACCAGAGGCCCACCAGGCGTCCAGCTGGCTCCTCGCCTCTTCCAAGAGGCTCAATCCGATGAGGAGCTCCCTAATATTCTTCACTCCGGCAGAAGCAAGTGTCTTGCCCAAGACAGCCCAGTGAGCTGGGCATATCACCAGCCCTGGTATACTCCAAGCAGTGTCCCACCCCAGCAGGCGCACAAGGATGACCCGGACATCCAGCAAGGGATGGATGACCATAGGACGAAGGACCAGACTGTGCCAGCCCTTACTGCTTTCAGAACAACAGCTGCCTAAAAACACACACAAAAAAGCCCCCACTTTCGTATGTCCAGTTCCGCGAGATGAACCAATAGAGCATAAAGCTAAGTTCCCGATGTCCAGACTCCTGAGTTCATGTTTATTATCACACGTGAGATCCAGCCTAGAACATCAGGTACTTCATTTTCAAGCCAAAGTTGTCCAGCACAAACAACTGTAAAGAAAATCTGCCACTCCACCCAAACCTCACCGGTATGACGCTCTCCCCTTCTAGAATGTTAAGGAAATCCAAGGCACTGAAACCTCGGGGGGCGGGGCTGCCCAGGCCTTTACCCATGAGAGAGAAGGGGAAATACTCAAGGCCAGGGAAGGGACTGGGTGCTATGTCAGGCCTCCATCAAGGGTCTCTGTACCTTTGGCACTGCTGCTCAGTAGAGAGGGTCCCTAGGCTCCCCGCATGCATCCGGGGAGCAGGCTGAACTCATCCCACTGGCAGGCGGCGACACTGTCACACGGCTGGACTCGGCTCCCTCCCTAAGGGAGTGTGCTCACAGCACAGCCTTCAGCCACAGCCTCAGGTGCCCAGCAGCCCCGGGAGGGGACCAGCCACTTCTCGAGGTACCTTCTGATGCCTCCAGAAGGTCCTCGAAGGAGGGGCTCCGGGCTCCGGCTGCCATGGACACTGTAGGTGGGGGAGTCATCCGTGGAGCTCCGTGACATTTCCTTTCTGTTTTTTCTTTATATTTTAGCGGAATTCTGTGGCCCAGACTCGGCTTCAGACTCTATGCTCTCAGAGTCAGCTCAAGTACAAAGCAGGGAAAAAAAGAGAGAAAGTAGTGGGAAAAATTAGATTCTTGATTTGTGTCCAGATGGTTCTGGACGAAAATAGACTCAGAGATTCTCACTGCAAACTTGCCTCTGGTATGAAGCTCCCCTCCCCTCTTCATTTAAGGTCTTCTTGGTAGAAGAGGGAACGGGGATGGGAAAACACTGGGAACATTCATTTTTCTTTTTCCCAGCCGTATATTAAAAGGCTGCACAGGTTCCAGTTGAGGACTCTGTGGAACACCAGGAGTCACCCCACACGCAGCGGCCTGGGGCGATGCGATTTTCACCAACTTGAAAGAGCCCCTTGGGGCCAGCCTGCAGGCAGGACGGGGCTGGTGTGCTCTGCAAGCGGCAGCAGCCGGATGCAGGGAAGGGCCCCAGAGCCCTCCCCAGGCTCCATGTTCAAGGAACTCAAAAGGGGAAAGGCCGCACACAGGCCTCGGCTCTGGGCCCTGGAGGGAGCAACAAGGCTTTATCCTGCCCATTCTCCTTCCCTTCAGGGAGATGCTCACAGGACCGTGGCGCCTGCTGGAGACCCAGCAAAAAGCAGAGGGCATGCAGTCCCTTTTGAGGATAGCATGGGGGGAGCCTTGATGGGGTCCACCTGTCAGAAACAGAAAACCTGACAGATTTAATGGCTCACCTCAGGATCCCTAGGGCATGAACTTGACAACAAGACCCAAGTGACCCCAGGTCCCACTTGGCCAGACAGAGGCCATGCCCTGCTGTTCTCTCACTCCTCAAATCATTCCCAATCATTCCGCTGATGCGCAGAGGGAGCCTGGCGTCCATCAGCCGCCACCCAGGGCGGCCATCCTAAAGTCCAGGACCTCCTCCACCAAGGCAGCCCAGTGGCAGTCGGTCAGATGCCAATGAAGTGAGTAGTGGCCAGATGGAAGGTGCTTTTTTTAAATGCAGCTTTTGCACAATTGGGTTTCCTTCCTCATGTTTAAACTGCCTTAGAGGACAAGCAGACTCAGTGTGTCCGTCCTTGGTTCCGGGTGCCAGGGCTGGGCGAGGGAGGAGCCAAAGAGACGGCAGAGACGGGGCCAAGCAGATGCCGGAAGCAAGAAGCAGCAGACGGTCCGTGAAGGTCGGGGGCAAGGTGAGCATCAGATCTCAGGCTCTGCTCCCGCCAGACTCCATGGCAGGCAGATGCTGTAGGCGAAGCACAGCCCGGAACGTCTCCTCAGGCCCTGGGTTCAGGTGCCAGGACCTCTTTATGGTTTGCCTGGGGCCACCTCTGGGCTCAGCCCTGATGTCTTTTTTCAGAGCTTGAGGGTTTGAACTAAGATTTTCAACTTTCCTAACTCCTTTTACCTGTAAATTAGGTGTTTTCTCAATTTCAAATCAGCATTAGGGGAAACCTTAAGGCAATGGGCTTGAATAGAGAATAATGATAGTATTTTACATTTTTACTGTTATTTATACTTAACAAGTCACTTTCATGTCTCTTCTTTCCTGTGGGTTTCAGAATTACCCACTGAGGCCGAAAGGAAATGACTGGACTCCATTAAGCTCCTTGAAGGCCTAGACTGTTCTGTTCATCGCTGTAAGTAACCTAAGTACTTGATATGCTGCCTGCTGCAGAGCAGATACTCAACTAAATATTTGCTCAATAAAGGGGTGGATGGATGGATGGGTGGATGGATGGTTGGGTGGATGGATGGATGGGTGGGTGGATGGCTGGAATTTGCTCTGTTTTTCAAGCTGGATTCTATTCCCAATTCTACATACTAGTGTGTGACTTTGTCCAAATCGCTAAACCTTTTTCCCTCACCTTTAAAATAGCAATAATGATATCATGTCTGCTGCCACAGTGTCACAGAGATTGGGAGCAGAGCCAGGGCTTGAACTAGGGTCTCCTGATTCCTGGTCCATTGTTTGTTCCATTGCTTTATGGGGTGGAGGGGAGGAAACTACTGCACGTTTATCTGTCGAGCTGTGTTTTAGGGACTTTAAAATCCTCATAACAGCTCTGTAAGTTAAGTGCTATTATTATTCCCAATTTACAGATAAAGCAACTAAGACTCAGAGAAGTTAAGTGACTTGCTAAAGGTTCCACAGGGGAGTTGGGATTGGCACCCAGGCCTATCCGACCTCAAAATCCAATTTTTCCACCATCTGCCGTATTTTTTCTCAGCTCACACCAAATCCACAGTTGGAGAACTCCCAGCTTCCCTATCCACCCTGGAAACCAGACTGGCAATGTCTGCCTGAGACTCCAGCACTGCAGTGGAAGCAGCCACCTGTGCAGTTGCCAGTTTTAACTGTTGACCAATATATACAAACAACTCTGCAAAGTTGGAATATCTTGGCCAAAAGCATGGTTATCCACTACCACTTCCTAGATCAGCAAATTGCTCTCTGGTGGCCCAGAATTTTTATTCCACCCAGTCTGAAAAACAGAAGGTAATGGTAACCTTTATGAGACTGGTCCTATGGAAGCATTTATGGCCCTAGATAAATACAAAGTGTATGAAGATTTATTGCGGAGGTCACAGAGTAGGAAAACCGAGAGGAAAATGAAAACAGAACTTAGTCTTTTCAAGCCTTTTTATCTGAGTAATTGGTTGAGTTCACTTCCAGCTAGGAAGCAGGTGTACAAAGCAACTTAGGATTCAAAATTCTGATGCAGAATGTTCCAATATGGGGCACACCTGTGCTCGGGAGGAGGTGAAGGAAAGTGGGGTGGAGGAGGAAGAAACAGCTTTAATCCTGGAGCAAATGAAAACTCTTACTGGTTGGGGCTTGAATACATATGTTTCCAAGATGTATTTCTTTATCAGTTAAGGCTCAACTACAAGTGATTAAGAGCAAAATCAGTCTACAGCAAAACATTGATTTATAGGTCCACACAAGTCTAGAGTCTGGTTGTTACAGACTTAATGTCTGTGTCCCCCAGATGCATATGTTAAAACCTTCATCCTCATTGTAATGGTATTTGGAGGTAGCGCCTTTGAGGCTAATTAGGTTTAGATAAGATCATGAGGGTAGGGTCCTCATGTGGAGAACAGGGCCTTTATAGGAGATCAGAGAGCTCTCTCTCGCCATGTGAGGATGCAGCAAGAAGGCAGCCATGTGCAAGCCAGGAAGAGAACTCTCACCAGACCCCGACCATGCTGGCACCCTGACTTTGGACTTCTAGCTTCCAGAACTGTGAGAAACGAAATTCTATTGTTTAAGCCACCCAGTCTGTGGTATCTTGTCACAGCAGCCCCAGCTGGCAAGGACACGGGTCTCGCTTCAGGCCTGGCTGGCTGCAGGGTTTTGGAGCTGTCATTATTACCTTGTTTCTCTCTCCCAGTATCTTGGTTCTCCTTACTCTCTCAAGGCCCCATTCTCAGAATAATAGCTCAGGCCCCCGTGAAACAAAACTGGCAGCCAGGTTCAAGTTGGAAGGCATCTCCTTCTATCCCAGAATTCCCAGCAAAGTCCCACTGCCTTTCACTGGCTCTGATGGGGCCACATGCCTACTCCTGAACCAGTCTCTGCGGCCAGGGAATGTGGCATGCTGATTGCCTTTGGCCTGGGCCACGGGCTTCATCCTGATTCTTTGGGCCTAGCCCCGCCCAAAGAACACAGACTGAGGTGGGGGTGCTGAAGACACAAAGAGCACATGCTCAAAAATCGGTTAGCGGAGCCTGGATAGGGGTCAGGCCAGACCTCAGAAACAAACCTCCAGGACCAAGAACAGAAGGATTCAGCCAGGGAGCAGATAAATACCAGCAAAGAAAAGGCTGTGACTTGTCTCAGCAACCTTGTACACTGAGTTTACTATTAAGCTGTGCGATGTTTTACCCCAAATAGTAAGTTAAAAGGCAGAGTTTGTTAGAATGAAAATTCGTAACTTACGCATCTTAAACTCTGAAATTCAGTTCACAGGGCCCTGCAGAAGAGCTGATTTATCCTATAGAAGTGTTTTCTAATGCAGTCATTATAGATGTGGCTCACTTTTCGCTGTGCGTTTATTCCTGAAATAGGACATATTAAACTGATTTTTTTTCAAATTTGAAACACTTAAAAGAGCATTGCAAAATGCTTCTATGGTGTGAGAAACCTCCCTAATTTTCTCTGTAAGTTTGGATCATGGCCTATTGGGTTTTTGTAAAGTGAGGCCTCGTTAAACACACACACACACACACACACACAAACACACACACACACCCCTTACTCCAAAATCTGCAGACCACATAGCAGTATCTGCAGAAGGATCCTAAAAAAAAACACTTTTCCCAACAATCTTCTTCCATATGAGTCCATCCTCGTAGGACTAAATCTCTTTAAATTCACTTCCCCAGACTGTGTTCCTCCCTGGACAACAAATTCCATAAACAAATGGCCCTTCAGTGATTTGACAGCAGAAAGACTCCAGGAGCCAATGGTCCCAGAGCCAACAAACAAAATTCTGTTTCGATACAATTTCCGTTGGGTCAGAGGTCAGGCCTCTGTGTATCTCCACGCTACCAATTAGCATGACATTTGGGCTAAGTTAAACAGCTCTCACTGGCAGCTTCTACGCCACTGGGGGGCCATCAGGACAGATTCCAAAGTAGGCATATATTGTGCATGGATTGTTCTGATTTGTTGATTTGGAAATTTTATTTGAACTGCTGATAAAAGCTGATATTTCATCAGTACTGGAACTACAGTTGTGCTTATTAGGAATTTTCTCTTGAATAGGCTGGGAACTCAGAGGCTTCCTTCAGCCAGAGGCATGTGTGGCCATCTTTTAAGAACCCTCTCTTCCAGCTGAAAATGAATTTATGAATGCGATCGTGACATAAACATCTGAAAGTAGGGCAACAAGGGACACAGCTTCTGCCTTTGGTAAGAGGCTCTTTTTCAAACGTAAAAGACGGGGGAGGGCAGATGGCAAAGGACTTGGAAGTGCTTGTTGGTCCTATTTCACCCTCCCTCGCTACCCTCTCAGGAGGGAAGCAGAGTGCGCGTCTTTCCTGGAGGGAGCAGGTCACTCTCACCCTAGTGTTTCACGGGGCACTTGGGTCTCACCCCGCCCCCCTCCCCCCGCCTCCAGAGCAGCTCTCCCAGGTGCTCTCCTGATGCCGAAGCTCTTTCCACGGCAGCCACACTGCTCGGTTCCTCAAGTTCGGAGGCAATGGTTCTGGGAAATGTTAGCTTAAACTTCTAAGCATCCACATTAGTGATGTCAGAGCCTTTCCTGAGAGGTGGTATGGATGATATCACACACCCATCATTGGAGCTCTCTCATTGAATCCATACCTGCAACTTTATAGACAGGCATAGTATTATTAATCTTACCAATGAGGAAGCTGACACTGAAAACCAAGATAAGGAACTTGCCTGGGTCCCACAAGCTTTTGTGCAGCAAAGGGGTTGGAAAGGAAATAGAAAAGTATGAGGACAGGAAGCCTCACCTGCTTCACAATTGTTCCTCAGGTCAGGCCCCCAGCAGTCTTTCCGTTTTCTCAGTAAGAAAATGGGGCCAGAACAGGCATGGGGTGGGATGAGGGTGGGGTACCCCGCAAGGAAGGTCCAGCCACGTACCCATCTGAGCAAACATGTCCTCTATCATGTTCCCGTACCAGGTTTTGAGATAGAAAAGAAAGGAATCGTGGGCTTCTCCCTTCTTATCTCCTGTCAATTATGAACATGCTCCCCATCTCACTGACTTTTTACACATGGGGGAGGTTGGGAGCAGCAGCAAACAGGAAAGAGATGCCCCACCGGCCCCGCACAGCATCAGATGCTGGAAACAGAATCGAGTCTAGAACTAAGATTCACGGTGACTGAACTCTCCCTGGGTCTCCACTCACAGCTATACCCTCCAAGACTGCCACGTGTAGTATATTTAAGACCATGAACCACCCTCACGTGTCTTCACTGCCAGGAATTTTCTCTCCGTATCTACACTGTGCTTTGCAATCCTAAGCCAGTCCCACCACAGAAAGCTTGCGTACATCCTAGAGGGGACAGATCAGGAAATCGCTAATGTTGCCCTGAGTTCCCTCAGGCGGCTGACCCACCTGGGAAGGTCTGATAACTGGACGGAAAAGCGCTACATCCTCAGAATCCAGATGCTCCTTATTAAGACATTTCAAGTTCATGCTGCTGAACTAATGTGTCCAGTTTCAAGGGGAGAAAGAGGCTCTGACAGCTCTCTGCAACTTCCCACACTCCGAGGGATGAAAGCTCCCTGCCACGGACTGCAGAGGATCTGAGCAGTCTGACTTCTACTCCGTGAGTGTCCGAACCTGGTGACTCATTCGTCAGACAACCCTCTGTTGAGCTCCTACTGTGTACCTGGCCCAGCGATGGCGGCCGGGCCTTCAGAGCTCCCCACAGGGACACACCAGAGACAAATCACGACAATGGCAAGTGACCAATTTGCAGTAGGAACAGACACGTCCGGCACTGCGGGAGCAGGGTACAGGGTTCGAGGCCACAAGTGAGGCTGACCGGTGATGAAGTGTTCGCCTTTACAGAGCAGCTCAGTTTTCTTCTGCGCTCTGCGCTCCAGGGTCCATTTTTGCCAGATTCAAAGAGCAGCAAGATACTTCCTGGGCAAATGAATCCACGCCACCCGCCACACATCATTACATCCACGGAAGTCCTGAGCAGGGCTGGATGCAGGCGTTTTAGGGACCCTGAACCTGTGCAGTCTGGCCCGGCAGGGGGAGCTGGCCCTGTGGATGGCCTGCCCACGTTGAGGCCTGAGGACCTTGGGGCCAGGGTAGCGGGAGTGCTGGGCGGCTTGCCCGGCGGGGCAGCTGCTCAAGTGGTTGCTCTCTCGTTCGTGCAACCAATGTTCATGCTGCGCCTATTGTTACCCAGCACTGCTCTGGACCCAGTGCTGAAAAAGGACAAAAATCACCGCCCTGTGGAGCTGACGGCCCGTGGCAGGCAATCGGACAACTGATAAAAGTGGCAAGTGCTTCAGTAAGTAAGTAAGTAAATAAATAAATAAATAAAACAAAAAATGAAAAAGCATCTATCTATGTATATATGTGTATAACTGAAATACTATGCTGTACCAGAAACTAACACAACATTGTCAATCAACCATACTTCAATAATAAAAGACTAGCAAATGCTGTTGCTGTGTGCCAGTCCCTGTTCTAAGGGCTTTCATATTTTTCATCTTCGTCACCACTCCCTGTGGTAGACACTAGTTAGCGTGAACCAGCACTTACAGACAAGGAAAGTGAGGCACAGAGAGGGCAGGTAACCTCCCCCAGGTCACCAGCTAGGAAGTGGAGGAGTCTTGGGTTTGAGCCTCAGTGATACAGAGCCCATGCTTTCAACAGTCACATTCTGCCATAAAATACATGTCAATTATGTGCCATGTTAGGGGGTGATAAGTTCAGGAGGAAAAACTAACAGGGAAGCAGGACAGGAAGTGCTGGAATGTCTGCGTGA